ATCACAAAAATCCCTCAAACTTCCCTGTAATTTCATGGTATGGCAGGAACTGAGGGGTTTCCTTGTTTATTTCCCTGTCTGAAATACAGCTGTATTCAAGAACCTTCTGAGTGTCCTTCTGTTTTAGTTGTAGCAGGAAGTGCTGCCTGCACCTTGGAGAATGAGGTAGAGCCCAAGAGCTGCTAAGGGTGCATGGTCTAGTCAGAGGCAAGGAGCTCCTGGCTCTTAGTTGAGTGGTCAGTCTGAGGCTGCTCTTAAGTGTCCTTCTAGATTTGTTGCCAGTGGTGAAGGACAGAAATCAGCATTCAGTCTGTTTACATTCATTCCTTGGATGGCTTTTTATAGGAAACAATCCTGTGACAAAAATACACTCCCACATAGACATAGTGCATCATCAGCCTGCCTCATCTAGGTCAGGGGAAAGAGGCCAGAGCAAGAAGAGCACATGTGTGAATGTGGATGCAAGAGAAAGAGAAGATAAAAGGGACACAAAGAGACCCTGGTCAGCAAGAGCATTAGAAGTGCCATGTGAAACTTTTAGTTTAAATAAATCTTGAGTATAATGGCAGGTAAACTATCAGGTGTTGAAGGAGGGTATCCAGGGGAATCTCTATCTTATCCTCCAGGGGCAAATATTGCTGCTTTAAACCAAAATATTCCAGGTTACTATATCTCCCTCATTTAGAGTATCTTCACATGCATGAAATATGTGAATGGGAAAGCATGGTGCCCGGGAACTATGTGAATGCGTATGAGACAATCTATGAAATACCTTGGCATGCATTAAACTCTGCAAAAAGAGACAGAGCAGCCAAGTTTACAATTTCATTTTCCTGGCCGTTACTGTTTCTGTCCAGAAGATGTCACTAAGAACCTGTACAAACCATCTCAACTGGATGCGGGTTGGAGTTACTGGTCTGAAGAGTGCAGCAAACAATCTGGAGAAAGTCTGACTCAATTTGCACAACAGTGTGTTCGGTGTCACTGCTGACTGCAGATAGTGCCACTGGAGCGCCCTGAGATCAAGCTGCTATGCATCAGCATTTGGCCTTATCCCAAGGCCAACATGGAGGTCAATGTGGAGGCTGTGACTCTGCTCAGCATTTGAAATCCAGTTCAGTGCAGTGGGAATGATAGTATTTCTTCTTTGCATTTTGGCTGAAAGCCTTCTGAATCTCTGTAGGCCTGTTTTCTCCCCAGCAGGTTGAGTTAGTGGATGGTCTAACACAACTGAGTAATTTTCGAATGTAATTAAAGCAATAATCAACCTTCAGAAAGGAAAATAGGGGCTAAAGGTGGTGTCCTGACAAAGTAACCACGTCACCAGATATCAAGAAGGAAAAGCATTTCCTTGTTCAAAATTCCTATTTTCTAGAGCTCTGACTTTTGCTTTACACAAACATCGTGTTTCTCAGCATCCCAGCTGTCCAAGGCTGGACAACATGGGAGGGACCTTAAATGATCCAGCTGAGTCTGGGAGGGTTGGGCAGAGGCAGGATCAGGACTAGCAAGGGACTGACCACTCTACACAGAAATAGCTAGGCATTACTTGAGCACCTCTTTGCAATGACCACCAAAATGGGAGCAGGAGCAACTGGTTTCTGGCATCAGCTGTGATTATCTGCAGGGAAAGGCAATGGTCTGTGGAAGCAGCCTGGAGACAGGGTTTATTTATGGGGATTTAGAGGGTACTTTTGAGAAATGAGAACTCATATTTTTTTCCCTGAGTCTCTGTTTCCTCCCATGCTCCTAATAGGATAATTTGCTGGATATTTTCCTTGAGGAAGGTAATTTTCTGTCTCCCTCTCGCAGCTTCCCCTTTGCGAAGGGGAAACCCAGAGCGTGTCTATTCCTTGGACAAGAATCTGCTGTGGGTGATAAATGACAAGGAAAACTGTGTGTGCTGCAGTACTAGGCTCGGTATTGGGTTGGTAGAGTATTCCACAACCTTGTGCAAAAAACAGGCTTACACAGAGACTGCAGAGGAAGGAGAAAGACTCAGGGAAAAGCATGTCCTTGATGCCCTATCTAAGCAGCCCTAAGCAGTAAGGTACCTGTAACAAAAGCTTTGTTTCATCATATTCCTTTATGTGCTACTGCCTCATTAGTCTGCTCTTGGCTCTGAGTCCAAGCTGCTGAGAAAAATCCTGTCAACTTCTGTGCTGTTTGAGTGATGCCCAGATTTATTAATAGAACCAAGTTAGGATTGGTCCTGTGAGTGGACAGACTTTGTGCTGTGTACTACAACATCTCCTAGAGCTGAGCATTGTGTCAGGAGAACTGTAAAGGCTGCTCAGTTATAAGGGACTCGGCTTCATGCTTCCTGTAGGTCTGCCAGAGTTTGAATGCTGCGGTTTGGATCAGGGAGTCCCTCAGATAGGGTCTCTTCTTGACCTTGCTGCTTATGACCTTCCTGTCCTGTTTAATGAAGGTTTGATGCAAATAAACAAGATGAGCAAAACTCATCAATTAAATACTCCATGCACTTTGAGCATTTTTTTGTTAAGGAAAGCCATAAGACTGGATTAGTCCTAGGCCTGAGTCCTGGGTTATATCTGTGTATTCAAAGCTTGTATGCTCTATTACTTCGTTTCCTTTAATGTCTAGAAGGAATCAGAGTTCTGTACCTATACCTAGGGCAGTGTAGCAATATTGTCACAAGAAATCACTTGGAAACGCGAAACAAAGAACCAAAGAAAGCACTTAATCAGAATTATGCAGAAGGTTCATGAAGAGGCTGAGAATAAACAACAGAGGCTAGAATGTCAGCTGGAGTCAACTGAGGTAGTGAAACTGCAGTGAATTAGAATATCAAATGGGAAGGTGATCACATGTGTACTGGATCTGGGTGGATCTGTACTGGGTTCAATGAGGGCTACGCCAGTGTTTCTTGTTTGAGTACTGACCAGTCTATCCAAAGGCGTACAATCACCATCTAAAGTTTACCACCTCTGTTTTGCAGGAGGAAGAGGGAAGGACGGGGCTCCCATTATAACCTTTCCAGAGTTTGCAGGATTCAGTGACATACCGGATGAAGATTTCCTGAACGTGGTCACATATCTAACCAGCATTCCCAGGTGAGGCTAAGCACAAATGTCTGTGGATTTCCTAGAGAGCTTTGCTCCCCAATGGCTCACTGTGTTTAGTAGTGCTGTGAGGATATACCAGTGACTCTGCATTCAGCCAGCCAGTATGAAAGTTTCTTATGTGCAGGAGGCCCTAGGAACCACTTCCATCATTTACATGGGGAAGAAAGCTTCACACAGGACAGGCTTTCTGTTCAGGGCTTGAAGTGGGTGGGAGAGGGTGTGGTTCTAAAAGAGCAGTGGTAAAGATAGCAGATCAAAAGGGTGCTGAGAGGGGCCATTTGTGAGAACTCTCAGGGGCGCTGGATATAAGGAAAGGGTTGCATCTGGAAGGAGCCAAACTTACGTACGTCCTGTTACTACTTATTCTCTGAGTGCATCTTTCTGTGCAAGCTTTCTCTTTTCTGAGAAAGCAAGCTAGGTGCCCTGTTGACAGGATTCTGGCAAGCACCATGTGCTTTCTGATGCTTCATTTATTGGGAGATTGCTCCACAGGTAGGATATTTTCCTTGCTGTTTGCCTGCAGCTGTGCAAGGACAGTGAAATAAATTCACTTCCACTGCTCTGAGGAAATGCTCAAAGGCATGGCAGCTGAATTACTTTTTGTTTATCCAAAAAGAGAGCTTAATATTTTTTCAGTCCCCTGATCCTGTCTCTGGACCGTAGCTGTTTGTGCTAGTCAGAAGCACGACAGGGATTTATTATTTCCTGTAGTCTGGGGTATAAAGGTGCTTAAAGGATGATGAGGGGAAAACGTGCCTCCTTCAAGTTTGAGTAAGAAGTTTTCCAGCTCCACCTACATGTATTCCCCATGCTGAGTTGCCAAAGCAAGCTGAGAGAAACCACACACTGTGAACTTAACAGCCTCATTGTTTCACTCTGCTCTGTACGGCTTGTGTTCTGCCAGGAGAAACTCTGTCTCACATATATTTTCACTAGCTTCAGGACTGGGAGGGTGATCGGCTTTGGGGTTAATAAAACAGCAACAGTAGCTGAGAAAAACACGAAACTAGTTTTCCAGTTCTTTGTATTTGGTATGCTGGTGGGTCATTCCTAGTAATTTTGTCACATGTTGGGGAACTAGCCCGTTGTATTGTCAACATGATAGACAGAAATGCTTTATGCTTCTTCAGCGTGTGTGAAAGCCAAAAGTAGAGATGGGTTCAAAATAAATTAGCCAAATTCATGAAGGATAGCTCCATCAATGATAGCTGAACACAATGGCTCAGATGCAATCTCTGGTTGAGGAAATTCATATATTCCTTACTGCTGGGACTTCAGAGAATATTCCAAGAGAAAGATGGTCCTTCTTACTTTCCCTCTGCTTTTGCCTCAGTATCCACTACCTACCAACACTGGAAACAGGGTATTGGGCTAGATGGACCTTTGCTTTGATTCAGTTGATCAGTTTTGTGTTTTCTCTCCCCCCGAAGGAATCCCAGAACAATGTGTAAAGAATGATGAATTAAGTTTCAAAACTTTGTAGGTCAGCAGAGCTGCAATATGCCTATTTTACAGATGATGACGTATGTGTAAATAGTATCTTACACTACAGACAGGCTCACCAGAGCTTGTGTTGAGTGAGTGACTATTCAGTTTGGTTCAAATGACTGATTCAAGGTCAGTGACAGGCTGGGGTTTTGTTTCGGTTTGGGCTGGATAAATGCCAGGTACCCACCAAAACCACTCTATCACTCCCCCTCCTCAACTGGACAGAGGAGAGGAAATATGATGAAAGGTTTGAGGGTTGGGACAAGGGCAGGGAGAGATGACTCACCAATTACTGTCATGGACAAAACAGACTGCACTTGGGGAGAAAAGGGAGTTTACTTCATCACCAATCAAATCAGAGTAGGATAGTGAGAAATAAAACCAGATCTTAAAACACCTTCCCACACCCCTTCCTTCTTCCTGGGCTCAACTTCACTCCTATTTCTCTCCCTCCTCCTCTCCTGAGTGGAGCAGGGGGATGGGGAATAGGGATTACGGTCAGTTCATCACACGTTGTCTCTGCTGCTCCTTTCTCCTCAGGGGGAGGACTCCTCACACTCTGCCCCGGCTCCAGTGTGAGGTCCCTCTCACAGGAGACAGTTCTCCACAAACTTCTCCAACATCAGTCCATCCCACGGGCTGCAGCTCTTCATGAACTGCCCCAGTGTGGGTCCTTCCCACGGGCTGCAGTCCTTCAGGAACAGGTTGCTCCAGCGTGTGTCACCCATGGGGTCACAAGCCCTGCCAGCAAACCTACTCCACCGTGGGCTCCTCTCTCCACGGGTCCACAGTTCCTGACAGGAGCCTGCTCCAGTGTGGGCTCCCTACGGGGCCACTGCCTCCTTCAGGCATCTACCTGCTCCGGCGCGGAGTCCCTTCCACGGCTACAGGTAGATATCTGCTCCACTGTGGACCTCCGGGG